TGCCTCTGCCTCCCGAGTGCTGGGATTAAAGGTGTGCGCCACCACGCCCGGGGCTGTTATGTAGTCTTTAGCTAAACATATGGCCTCTTTTTTTTGGGGGGGGGGTCTTTTGGAGACAGGGTCTCCCTGTAGCCCCAACTGTCCTGGAACTCACTATGTAGACTAGGCTGGCCTTGAACTCACAGAGATCCACCTGCCTCTGCCTCCTGTGTGCTGGGATTAAAGGCATGCACCACCATGACCGGCTAAACATATGGACTCTTAAAAAATTATATTGGCCCCTTTAATCTTTGGTTATACTTTCCTTTTGGGTGTTTAGGACCATACAGTTGACCCAGATAAACCAATTAATTTTTACTCTTAAGGCCGCTTGAGGATCTGTTCCTCAGGGGTCACATGGGCTTGGGGGGAGCTCCTGGCTCCTTTCTTTTACCAGTTCTGCCTATGTGAAGATAAGTCAAAGGTCCTACTCAACTATGGCTGGCTTCGCTTGGAAGCATAGAGGAAATGTTTCTTCTGTGTTGACCCTCCTCTTTGTAGACTGGACACTGGTTAAAGTCCATCTTGTGGGGTCTCCACAGCCTCCTTGATCAGAGGACAGGTGACTCACCATAGTTACAGGACATTTTGAGAGATGCTAATAGTCCCCTGGCACTAGTCAACCAGGAGGGCAAGGAGCACAAACTGTCCTTTATGTCCCTCTGACCAAATTAGTATAGGCCTCAAAGTATGTCTGTTAAACCTAAAGGACATTTTTATCAAGTCTCTAACTTCTAATGTTAATGCCCTGTTATTTTGGTATAAATAATTGCTTCTCATAAAGTATGAACTCAGCACTGAAGATGTAGCTTAGAGGTAGAGTGCTTTCCTAGCATGCACAAGGCTGTGGGTTCCATCCTCAGCACCCCAAAATATAGAGAGGGCTGGGCAGATGGCTTAGTAGTTAAGAGCCTTTACTTCACCAACATCAGGACCTAAGTTCAAATCCCCAGCACCTATGTAAAAAGCTGCATGTAGTCATCCTCACACCTGTAACCCTAGTGTGTTGGGGGCGGGGCAAGACAGGAGGATTGCTGGGCCTGGCTCCAGGCTCTGTGAAAGACCCTGTCTCAGAGGACTAGGATGGAGAATGATAGAGCAGGACTCCTGACATCCCCTCTGGCCTTTGCACAAGCCCACAGATGTGTACACCACATACACCACATGCTAACACGAGGTTCAGAGAACATAAGAACAATAAGAAATGACAAAATACGGACATTTGATCATACAAAAGAAAAATGAGATGAAAGCATGAAACCTCACAAGACTATTGGACTTGAAGACTGTCAGAGAGAAAAAGGGGGCACAACTAAAGGTAAGTCAACAGCTTGAGATACTGGAAAACAAGTGGTAAAGTTGTGGAGTGAGAGAGTAGACCAGAGCAGCTGGGCATGGTGGCACACGTCTTTAATCCCAGCACATGGGAGGCAGAAGCAGGCCGAGCTCCTGGAGTTCAAGGCCAGCCTGATCTACATAATAAGTTCCAGGCCAGCCAGTGTTACATAGTGAGACCCTATCTCAGACCAAAAAATAAAGAGCAAAATGGAAAAAAATCGACTGTGTTTTCAAAGCGATATAAAGGAGCTCTTTCTATGAGGTCTTTTTTTTTTGTAAACACAAAGGAAAAGAAAAAAAAGCAGTAACCAAACCAGGTGTGGTAGCCCGTCCCAGCACCCCAGAGGCAGAGGAAATAATGTGAGTTTGAGGCCAGACAATGCAACAACAACAACAAAAAAGCAATAGCCAGGGGCTGGAGACTCGGGAGATGTAGCTCAACTGGTAGAGTGTTTCCTAGGTGAAAGAAACAGTTTGATCTCCAGCACAGGTTAAAACTGGACTTGGTGACATGTGGCTATAATCCCAGAACTTGGGAAATGAAGGTAGGCTGGGATACAGAAGACCTTGTCTACAAAAATAATAAACTATAACCAGACCGAAAGCCAAAGCCACTTTATTCTAAGAAATGTGATATAAATTTAGTTTTACATGTTTAATTTGCAATAGACACAATACCGGCATGAGATGTTGATAAGCCAGGAGCGCTGAGCCCTTGAACAGACTTTTTCCCTCCTCTTAGTATTTTCCCAGATCCCAGGAAAAAAATGAGTTTTTGAATGTCTTCTAAAGTAAACATTAGATATTGAGACTTTATTATTATTAGTTGTACAGATTTGTGGAATACAGCATGGTACTTTAATACAGGCATACAGTATGTGACAAAGTGCCAAAACAGTTTAACATTTCCATCTCCTAAAACATGCTTTTAAAAGTTTTCACTACAAGCCAGGCAGGGTGGCTCACACCTTTAATCCCAACGATGGGAAGGCAGAGGCAGGTGGATCTCTGTGAGTTCCAGGTCAGCCTGGTCTACCTAATGAGTTCCAATCCAGCCAGGACTGCATAGTGAGACTCCATTTCAAAAACAAAAAAGTAGCTTTTACTAAACACATAATAATTATATATATTTGTGAAGTACATGTGATGCGCGTTTTTTAACATTTCTTTATTTTATGCACACACACACACATCCCGAGGCATGCAAGTGAATGTCAGGGGGAAACTTTCAGGAGTCAGTTTTCTCCTTCTAGTATATGGGTTCAGGAAATTGAACTCATCACGCTTGGCAGTAAGCATATTTATCCGCTGAGCCATCTCACTGGCCCACATGTGATACTGCAATACATGTATTTAATATGCACTGATTAAATCAGGGTAATGTTTTTATTATTTTAGATTTGGAATCTTATCAAGAGATCTCTTTTAAAAGATTTTATTTATGTGTATGTGTCTGTGTGTGCATGCGCATACGTGTGTGTTACACATGTGGGTGCCTACAGAGACCAGAAGAAGGCATCATATTCTCCTGGAGCTTGAGTTACATGCAGTTGTGAGCCACCCGAAGTGGGTGCTAGGAACTGAACTCGGGTCCTCTGGAAGAGCAGGAAGTGCTCTTAACCAGCTCTTAAGCACTGAGCCATCTCCCAGCCCCTTATGAAGAAATTCGTAAGATGCTTATTTGAAACTCTGCCTATGAGGTTTCCCTATGGTGTCTACAATATGCATTTAAGATCTATCTATATAAGAGTGCATTTAATTCTGGCGGATACGGAGCAGAGAGCACATGCTTTCAAGCTTCAAACCTTCCTGTTGAATCAGTTTTGCATATCCCGTTTAACTCAATTGTCTCTTAATAGCAAGACTCTGGACCTCGTTAGCATTATGAAAGTTCAATTCCTATTGTCATGTGTAATTGTCCTCACCTACTTTTTATTGGAATTCAGTTGGATTTTATAAAGTTGTTGAGTTTTTCAGACAAAAGTGTACATAATATATAATTTGTCACTGATATAAGATGGGATGAGTGGGGCTGGGCTGTAACCCTGTGGTAGAGTTTGTGCCTAGCAGTCATGAGGCTGTGGGCTTGATTTTAGCACCAGAAGACAAAAAGGGGAGGGGCATTTTGCTCTAGTGTAGCCGTGGACTAAATAGACATGCTTTGTGACTTCGACTGCCTCTATATCTAGGCTTCAAGAAATATGAATGATGTGCTTGGCGTGGTGGTACACGCCTTTAATCCCAGCACTCCGGAGGCAGAGGCAGGTGGATCTCTGTGAGTTCAAGGCTAGCCTGGTCTATATAGTGAGTTCCAGGCCAGCTGGGGCTACAGGGAGACACTGTCTCAAAAAGACCTCCCCCCAAAAATATGAATGATGCATTTATATCGAGAACCATAGAATTAAAGCAGTAAATCCAACAAAAGGTTAAATTATTTGTATTAAAGGTGAGAAAATTAAACCAAGACTAAATGAAAGAAGACTTATCTCAGGCTACAGGACTGTTGATAGCCAGGATAAGAGTGTGGGTTGGAGCTAGGTGTGGTGGCTCACACCTGTAACCCTAGCCCTCAGGAGGCTGAGGTGGGGGTCTGCCAGAAGGAAGCTCAAAGCCAGGGTGGTCTACATAGCGAGCTCTAGACTAGCCAGAGTGACATAGTAAAACCCGTCTTAAACAAAGAAAAGGAAAAAATAAAAACCCAAATAAAACAGCAACAAAGAATGTGAATCATCTGAATACAATGTTTCCTTTACTCCCTGCTCAGCTTTAGGTAAGCTACCTGCTTACCTATTAAAGTTTAGATCTGAATGGGTGGTGTCATGTTGTCTAGTTAGCTTTGTGGAGGTCAGCCCGCCTCTGTACTGCCATAGATGACTAAGTAAATGATGCTTACTTTCCAGCCCTGCTTCCTGATTGGACCACTTGCCTGAGAAATTGTATAGGAAATTATGATCCAAGTTCCATACCTAATAGGGTTTTCCCATAGTCCTGAACTCTGAGCTTAGCAGAAGACAACGGTTTGGGTCTTTATGTATTGCTAGTAGGATTGTATAATTCTTGACTCTGCTAGAAAATCTTCTAGGACTACAAGAATTACCATGACCTTTCTTGACAAGAAGACTTGCAAGGCAAATTTTAGGACAATCCAAGCAAAACAGTTAAAATTAGTACAGTGAAACCTGTAAATGATGGGGGGGTTAATCTAGGAAACTACTAGAAAGAAAAGAAATGAAGTTCTATGGCTAGCCAAAACTGACAAAGATCTTTTCTATACTTGTATCTATTTCTGACAGATTTAATGATTAAAATTATTAACTTAGGAAACAGGACTGCAGCCTAGTGATAGAGTGCCCGACTAGCATGTACAAAGCCCTGGGTTTAATCTTTAGCACCATTAAAATAAAAACCGAAAAGATTATTAATCAAAAGTCTATTTTCTTCTGAAATTAGGGTTTCATTCATTCCATGCTGGCCTCAAAACTTAATATGTAGTGAAGGATGGCTTTGAACTTCTGATCTTCTGCACCACCATGCCCAGTTTTATACAGTCAAACTTGGTGCTTCATACACACTAGGCAAATGCTCTACTGATCGAGTCACATCCCCATCCCCTTTCTTCTGACGTTGCATGTAGAATGTTTGCATGTAAGTCATATGGCCCACTATCATGTGTCCACTATGTCTATGATACTGGGAAGCAGCAAAACCATGTAATAATTCAGACACTGTATTTAAAATACTTCAAAAATGGATCAAAGTTATTCGTTTCAGTGAAAAATTAGCAAGTAGGGGGTCAAACCTGGGCTTTGCAAAGTTCTAGTGTAAAAAGTGCATGTCTATGGGCTAGGTTACAGTGATTGGAGGAGGAGGACTTTCTACTTCCTCTCACCCACACTATCCTTTTCTTTTGATGATCACAGACCATTGGGTGTCTGCAAATCCATGTTTTCACAAGGAGGAAGTCGGAAGTAGTTGGAGCGACGGAGTCTCCTTGGAGGCAGACCCGCCATCTGCCGGCAAAGTTCATCTAGAAGAAAAGCAGAGCATCTTGTTTGAAGGAAAAGAGAAGAGTCCATAGTACAGAGTAGTAAAAACAGCAAAGAGGAAAAGATCTGGGTTGAAACCTCAACTCTGCCCCTTACTGGTGATTTATCACTTGCTAGAAAGTGTCTTTCCTTTTTTATTTATTTATTTTTTAATTAAAAAAAGATTTTATCTATTATTTTTATTTTATGTGTATGAGTGTATTGCCTGCATGTAAGTGAGTGCACCTGTGTTGTGCAATGCTGGGGAGGTCAGAAGAAGGCCTCCACATCCCCTGGAACTGGAGTTAAGGACAGTTCGTAGCCGCCATGTGGGTTCTGGGAATCGAGCCCAGGTCCTCTGCAAGAGCAGTCAGTGCTCTTAACCACTGAGCCCTTCCAGCGTTATAAGATCCTGACTGTCCCTTTCTGTAAACTAACAAGATCTACCTCAGTGGTGTATTTATGAATATTAGGATGGAATAATGTGTTCAAAACTAGTTTCCTTTATAAACCCAGCTCCCAATTCTAGCCATGGATGTGCTACATAGAAAAATGGAGTCATTCAACCTGGGTTTAGGTGTTTACTATGGCTGATTGCAGTAAATCCCCTGAGATACTTGAAAGTGCCTAGAGTTCCAAATACCCTAGTCAGTGTCAAGGTGTTTCCCTTGCAGGTGGCTTGCACGAAGTCAATAGGGACAAGCAGCAAGTTTCCTTCTGCGAAATTCACTATCACTCTTACTCATGAACTCAGGGCAAAGCCGGCTGCTGAGTCAGAAAAGTCTCTGTCTGTGGTGTTGTCACCAACCACAGACATCATTTGGGGCTGCCCACCGGGAAGGTGAGAAGTATGTTTATTCCCACCATGCATGGTCAGTAGCCACACATTTTGGACCTTTGAAAATTGTTCTTGTAACATCTTTCTACTTAACCTCTGAAATTTTACAACAAGCAATATAAATGGTTCCTGGAATTGGGGAACTGTGTACAATGTCTAAATGTCCTATCTTTTTTTTATGGATCTCATTCAAGCCTGACTGTTTCCAGATTCGTGTGTGTGTGTGTGTGTGTGTGTGTGTGTGTGTGTTCTTTCTAGAGCTATGAACATGGCTGATGATCAATGATTATCTGTAATGGCTGACTTGTCCAGTTCCCAGAATATCTGAAAGATGACTTTCAAAACAGCCTGAACTTAGAAAGGTCTCACTATAGGAGAAGTTGGAGAGTTGCCTTCTAGTTGGAAAGGGATCTAGGGTGTATTTGCATTTTAACCATGTTGCTTTACTTGGATTGTTTATTTGGGATAACTGTCAACAGGGGCTGAAGGAAGATTGGAAGCCTAGTGCCCTCTTTCAGAACCAAACCTTGGATCTTTTAGCTTTGTTACTCTATTTGCCTCTCCTATTACTGTCCCTGCCCTCTGAACCCTGACATCGCCTTACCTTTCATAACTTCATGTTCTTTACAGACAAGACGGGAGCAGATCTCATTGTTGATGATGTACATGCGTCGTAAACTGCCGAAGTCCGATGTCATAGTAAGGGAAGAAGACAAAAAAGCCTTTAGAGGGTCGAGCCGGGGTCCCTGATACCTCTTCAACTCCTTATTCCTGACTGTTCTCAACTTATCTAGATTTCCTGAGGTATGTCAGACTTCTCTTCTTTCCCTTACCAGAATATCAGGGATGGAAATGGTTTTAATTACAAAAACAAAACACAAATAAATGATATCAATTATTCTTCTTAATGGCGCTTGGCAAATTTTCCTTTGAGTCAAGCCCAGTGCTCCTTTCCTTTGTTTTCCACTTCGGAGCTGGGCCTTTTGCTTCAGTTTCTTTCAGTCCAGGCAACACAGCAGTATTTCCCTCCTGACCACCTCATAGCCCTCACCTTCACTGGCATTTATTAGCCTGCTCTATGAATACTTCAACCCACATTCCAATGTCTAGCCAGCACCTTCAGGAATGGCTAGGAAGATTATGCTAGTAGCTTCTGCCCTTTAAAAATTACAGTTCCATAGCGAGTGCTCATGAAATAGCTACCAACACACTAAAGAATATTAGCATGGAAAGTGCCTCTGGGCATTCTGGGATCTCTTACCTGGTAAAGCAGATCTGATGAACGCATTGTTTGACTGGTCGATGTACAGAATATAGCCTTGTGCAAGCAAATTTCTCATCCCGACACTCTGAAGAAGCCCAACACACACAAAAAATAATGAGGTTCAAATAGAAACAGCACAAACCAAGGATTTAAAGGAGTTGGGAGAAGACAGAATGAGGAAAACAGAGTTGTCTCTACAGAAACCAGTCTATATTGGGGCATGTCCTTCTTACTACCCAAAGTGGAGTAGGAGGAAATTGACTCAAATGAAATTTAGGTACTTCCCTACCTGGAAGCAGAAGTCGATAAAATAACCTCTGATCTCTGAGGACTCTTCTAGGAAAAAAAAAAAAAAATCTTTCTAGGATTATTCAGGTGTCATGTAAAAATTACACTGAAATCTGACTGTTTCATTCTGAAGAATGAGAATTCTCAGGCGGGGCTCTGTTGCTTTGTTCCATCTGTTTTCAATTTTTAGCTGCAGCTTAAAATCATCAGTATATTACAATAATCAATTTCAACCATGACATTCATGGTAATATGGAGTCTACAGTCAAGCTGATTTATTTCCCAAAGCATTTAGCACCAAATAAAGTCCAATGGTAGTTTAGGAAGGGAGAGTGGTTTGAGGACCATGCCTACGATAGCCTCGTCTTTCCCTGTAACTTTTAGGATTGAAGTTCAATTTTGAAAGAAAGGAAAAGAAAAGGAAAGGGAAGGGAAAGAAAGGGAGAGGGAAGGGAGGGAGGAAGGGAGGGAGGGAGGGAGGGAGGGAGGAAGGGAGGAAGGGAG